CACGTGTCCGTACATGAGTGCAGGACAGTTTTAAGGAGCTGAATTTAAAATATTTTGGTCATACATCAGTAGGGAACATTACCGTAAAGTTTCAGCTTTCTAGCTTTTCCTGTTTCCGGGTTAGTAATTTTCGCGCCGAAATTTCCACGCGCTCGTATGTGGGCACGGGAGCTTCTAAACACCTGATCTTGGTCGTACATGAGTAGGGAACATTCCCTTAAAGTTTCAGATTTCTAGCTTTTCCCGTTCCCGGGTTAGTGGTTTTCGCGCCAAATTCCCACGTGCTCGTACGTGAGCCCCGGATGCTTCTAAACACCTGATTTTGCTCGTACATGAGTAGGGAACATCCCCCGAAAGTTTCAGCTTTCTAGCTTTTTCCGTTTTCGGGTTATTGACTTTCGCGCCAAAATTTTCACATGCCCATACGTAGGCTCGGGCGCTTCTAAACAACTGATTTTGCTCGTATATGAGTGGGGAACATTCCCTTAAAGTTTCAGCTTTCTGGCTTTTTTCGCTCCTGGGTTAGTGGTTTTCGCGCCAAAATTTTAACACGCTCGTACGTGGGCTCGGGCGTTTCTAAATACCTGATTTTGCTCGAACATGAATAGGGAACATTCCCTTAAAGTTCCAGCTTTCTTGCTTTTCTCGTTCCCGGTTTAGTATTTGCGCCAAAATTTTCACATGCCCATACGTGGGCTCGAGCGCTTCTATACACCTGATTTTGCTCGTATGTGGGCAAGAAACGTTCTCCTAAAGTTTTAGCTTTCTAGCTTTTCCTGTTCTCGGTTAGTAATTTTCGCGCCGAAATTTCCACGCCCTCGTATGTGGGCCGCAAGCGCTTCTAAACACCTGATTTCGCTCGTACATGAGTAGGGAATATTCCCATAAAGTTTCAGCTTTTCAGCTTTTCCCTTTCCCGGGTTAGTAATTTCCGCGCCAAAACTTCCAAGTGCCCGTAGTTGAGCGCCGGATGCTTCTAAACACCTGGTCTTGGTTGTACATAAATAGGAAACATCCCCTGAAAGTTCCAGCTTCCTAATTTTTCCTGTTTCCGGGTTAGCGATTTTCGCGCAAAAATTTCCACGCGCTCGTAAGTGGGCTCGGGCGCTTCTAAAT